ATACTTGAATAAACATGGTAAGTTAATGTCACAATTTAAAAAAATACTTGGTAAAATTACAAATCCTGAATAAAATTACTTAACCTCTTAAGCTCCACGCCCCCGCCGGCGGTGGCGGCAAAATCGTTTTTTTTCTTCTTTCTTTATTAACCAACGTTCTCATAGGTAAACATAGACGTGTGGTCTCTATAGAAACGTCAGAATCTTGGCTAAAAACTCATAGAAACCATTTCTACATCCACCAGACACAGATAAAACAACAAGCAGTTGAATCAAAGCTGCACAAAATGGCGTCTCAGCAAAACCCGGTCCCAGCTGTTCACCAGTGACTTCCTCACACACAAACAACATGTCTGCTGAAAGCAGAGACCTCGCAGATTCTAAAAATRTAAGTTTCATCACAATCCAACCAGAATTCACTCAACTAGCAGCAAAAAAGAAGACCTAGCATTCTGATAAAAACACTAAAAAAACACTAAAAAACACGTTTTACACGTAAAAGCGCAGCGTCACTCACGGACTTTCGGTTGTGTCTACGTGCCGTTTAAAAAATAAAATAAAATACAAAATGTGTCGTTTTTGCTAGTTAGCTTACATATTTATCAAGTTTATTAAGTTTTGTAACTAAAAACTTTTTTTTTAAAAATCTACTTTTGTAGATGGTGCCAAAATGTACCAATTTGTACCAATCTGTGCCAAAGGAATAAATGCCTAAATATTTTTTTTACTAAAACCTCTGTAACTTTGTTGTAGTTTACTTCAAGCAGCATGTTTTGCACAGGCAATGTCCATAAGCGGATTCATGGTTTCCAAGAGTTTTTAGCCTTATTCATTATACTTTTGAAAATGTTATATACTGTATAATGCAGAAAAACCTCAGGCGAGGGAAAAAAAAGCTGTTTTTTTCTATGTTCCATCCTCAGTATCTCTGAAACAAAAGCACAAGATGTGATACTTACACTCCTGATGAAATCTCCCAAGTGTTAGCTTTATTTTGATATCAGGGTATTTATATGGTGTTTTTAGGTGCTGAGATACACCCACTGACATTTGGGCATGCTTTTTCAAGTACAAACTTTAAGAAAACCCCTTGGGGCTTAAGAGATACTGTAACAAAGTAAATGTACTTAGTTACTATACACCTCTGACCGATGTACGGATCATAAATGATAATTATTCTAAATTGTTTAATTTGTTTTGTATTTGCATTATAACTAAATTAAATACACTTTTATGGTGCGTTCACACCGAACGCGATTTCAGCGTCAGGAGCAGCAGGTTTACATACAAAGTCTATGGTGGACACACTTCAAGCAACGTCGGGAAGTGCTGCGGCGCCTCAAGCGCAATTAGAGCAGCGCGATTTGAACGATTTGAACGATCTGAGCGTTCGACGCGCTGAGGCGCAAATCGCTCAAGTTAGAAAATCTGAATTTTTGCAGCTCGACGCGCAGCGTCAACCAATCAGAGAGACTCCACTGTGTGACGTAG